AATAATAATAATAATAATAATAATAATAATAATAATAATAATAATAATAATAATAATAATAATAATAATAATAATAGGAGAGCGCAAAAAATGGTCTGAAGCTCAACATAAAAAAATTTTACATAATGGCCACTGGTCCCATCACCTCCTGGCAAATAGAAGGGGAAGATATGGAGGCAGTGACAGATTTTACTTTCTTGGGCTCCATGATCACTGCAGATGGTGACAGCAGCCACGAAATTAAGAAATGCCTGCTTCTTGGGAGGAAAGCAAAGACAAACCTCAACAGCATCTTAAAAAGCAGAGACATCACCTTGCCAACAAAAGTCTGCATTGTCAAAGCTGTGGTTTTTCCAGTAGCAATGTATAGAAGTGAGAGCTGAACCATGAAGAAGGCTGACCACTGAAGACTGATGCTTTTGAATTGTGGTGCTGGAGGAGACTCCTGAGAGTCCCCTGGACTGCAAGGAGAAAAAACCTATCCATTCTGAAGGAAATCAACCCTGACTGCTCACTGAAAGGACAGATCCTGAAGCTGAGGCTCCAATACTTTGGCCATCTCATGAGAAGAGAAGATTCCCTGGAAAAGCCCCTGATGTTGGGAAAGTGTGAAGGCAAGAGGAGAAGGGGATGACAGAGGACGAGATGGTTGGATAGTGTCATTGAAGCAACCAACATGAATTTGACATAACTCCGGGAGTCAGTGGAAGACAGGAGGGCCTGGCGTGCTCTGGTCCATGGAGTCACGAAGAGTCGGACATGACTTAACAACTAAACAACAACAATGCATTTCTATTAATGTATACATTAGAAAGAAGTGTGCAAAACCATATGGTAGAAATGTGCACAAAAATGTGAGATGTTCATATAAGATACATACGCAAGGAAAAATGCATCTCTACATATTACTCTAATTATATGCATTTTATGTGTGAATTTCTGTAATACACACATTATATTCACAGTTTTGATTTGATGGACTTCACCACAAAGTCTGAGGAATTACAAACATTGATGGATCCCGGTTTGCATCCTGATTTGCATACTGGGCAACTATGTCCCAATTTGCATATTAATTCAGGAAATGAAAATGATCATAGTTCCTAATACTGTATAATGAAAACCAAACTGATTTATCTCCTGTTCATATGTGCACCATTATAACCATGACAATGTGATAGGAATTAATATGTTGTAATGATGTTACAGAATGATTTGGGGTTTTTAAAATTGGAAGTTAATCTATTCACCTACCAAAGATTTTGAGGATCAGAATATTCACAAAGTAATTCAAAAGGTCCAGAAAATGGAACAGAAATATAACATGAAATGGCTACATCATCCTGTTTTAAACAATATAAATAAAAGGCCAACAGGCACTATATTATCCAACTCCATTTCCTAAAACATATTGTCGAGTAGCATGGTATATATCTTTTTAAAATAGTTATGCTAAAGATGTATAGCATTGTAGCAAGGTGAAGCCCAGCTAGCCAAATCTGTGATCTCAGATCTGCTGTTGATATTGGGGGTGGGGAGAAAGAAAGATGTAAATTAAAAATACAAAGGAAGATCCAAAGATATGAATATCCAAATAAAGGAAAGACTCTCAGACATACACTTTTCAAATCTGATGCATCTCTAACCATGCATACATACATACATACAGTGTGATATGGTATGTGTAGCTAACTGTGCAAGAATGTATGAGAATGCATATTTGATAATGCATCCAGTTCAACACAATACAGTGGAAATATTGCATCGCTCACAGTTTGATGCGTGCAGTTCCAAATCTAGCAATTAATGTGCATCTCTTGTTATATGTGCAGCTTTCCTTGGTTGGGCTGTACGGACTGTGTACAAAGCTTGTCTCCCCTTTCTTCACAAATGTTCCCAGCACTAAGATAGTGGGAAAAGGTGACGAAAAGATGCCTGAAGTTCAATCCTGAAGGCAGACCTGGGCAACTTGGGCAATGAACAGATTTCCCAAGGCTAAAGAGACAAACTACTCTCTGTAAAGTGGCTTGTTTCTTCTGACCAGGAAGATTCTGAAGCAAAGGAAAAAAAACAGGCTGCACATGCCATTATCTTCCTGGCATTATTACTGTGTCTTTTTATCTTTGCTCCTGTCAGATTATTTCTGTAATTTCTACATCTGATGGGTGCTAAAATGTTACATTCTCTGGCTTTAAAGGGGGAAGGTTTGATAGAAGCCTCTCACAATATCAGTGGAAGAATAAAATCTTTTAAAAGTTACTGAAGGAGAGTATTCATACCTCCAAAGCTGCATATAATAAGCATCGAAAATCCATTGATCTCTTTCAGTTACCAAAAATTTAAAATCCATTATGCATTTCTTCAAATACTTGAAAGTGCTGCCAGTGGAGTTTTCTCAGGGATAAAAAGAAGAGCTGAGCTAAATGGAAATAAAGGACAGCAATCCAATAACGGGAACTGAGAACAAATAAATAAATAAATAAATAAATAAATAAATAAATAAATAAATAAATAAATAAATAAATAAATAAATAAATAAATAAATAAATAACCA